CTGTCTGCTTCATCTGCCCCTCTCCCTATCTCTCTCTCTCTCTCTCTCTCTCTCTCTCTCTGTGTCTTTCTCTACCCCTACAGTTTCTTGTTATACTCTTTTGCTGGGGGTTATTCGACATTTTTGCCACGAAAGGTGAATGAATATGCTCTGAATCAGCATAAACTGCTGAGTCGAGTCAAGTCGAGTCAAGTCGAGTCAAGGTCTTGTATGATATATCACTTAAAGACTTCATATAGTAACTCTACGTAACTAAATACGCATAATGAAAATGTTTCTTAAGGGAATGGGATTGACCTGTGAAACTATTTAAAGACCCATTGATCTTTGTAATTGTGAATATAGTCTTATATATCTCAAGTTAAATATATATGTTAGCCACATGGAAACTTATCTTATTATATATACATACAATATATAGTATATTCAGTAGCATTATTTAGCATTTGCAGAAATAGGCTTGTTTAGCCTAGCCATATTACAAACATCAAACTTCTGTAGTGTCTTCTCCATTCCACACCCGATTCTCTGAGATCTTTCTCTCTGTTCTTGTCTGGGTTAGAGTATTTGCCCTTCGGCTATCATCTGAATAACATATCTTTCTTCTTTTCACTCTGATTGTTCTGATTGTTGTTGTTGTTGTTGTTGCTGCTGCTGTTGTCGCCGTCACGGCCCGCCGATGGTCGCTGATAAGAGGCAGCCATAGCGTTCCCCATTTTAAGCACTCCCACTCCTCGCCCCTGCCACGTACTGCTCCCCCCCACTCCAGCAGCGGCGATATCCTCGGCGCGATAACACCGTCCGCTACGTGCTACCGAGTTAGCTTTCTTGTTTGCTCTCCTTTCGACCCCTGTTCGCAGCGATCTCAAGGTTGGCTGTACCTCTTCCACTTCTTGATCATCTTCATCATCTTGGATTCTCCCTAATTCCTCTTCGCATCTTCGGCGTGTGGGCGTGTCAGCATCGTAGTTCACAATAAATGCTATCACATTACGGATCGCATATGGGCTTGTAATGCGCTTCCGTTTTCCACGCCGTAATTGCCCTAACCGGCGATACGAGCGGTGCGGGAGGTGGGCGACGTCAGCTGGAAGGGGGGGCGTGGCAATCAGCTAGCAATGCAAAGGCGCCGCCGACGCTTAGCGAACGCCGTTTTTTCGGCTCATTTGCGGCCGCTACTTAAAGGTCGTCTAAGACACGGATTTGTATACCCCGTGACTGACTGAGTTGGGTGGATTAGTTCGATATGAAAGGGCTATCCAAGGCGGGTGCATATACTTAAACGAAATGTTCAATGTGAATCCAATAATCGAATCAATGATAATCAATGAAAATCGAACCCAAAAGATTATCTATGCAGTTTAGATCTACTATAGTAAAAGTCGGGAAAGTGTTTGGAGTTAAGTTATCTCGAATTTTCCACAACAACAGCGATAGGGTATCTGCTAGCTGGGCACGCCCGACTAGGGCATTCGTACTCTGGGGTTTTCTTTTATTTTGGGCACAAAACCCGCAATTATACTTCCGCTATGAGGCACCAAAAAAAAAGCAACGAAAAAAAAAAAGAAAAAGGGCCAAAGATGAAGCTGAAAACCAAGTCGCTTCATTCATCTCTCGGAGATCTGGAACGGAGGCTGAATCCAAGATTGTTTTGTTGTTTTCATTCAGTGATCGGGCGCGCATTCATTCATTCGTTCATTCAATTCGTGTTGATTGCCACCTTTGGGCCTTTTGGGGCCGCCTCTGCCACATGCCTCACGGCAGCCGCATTTAATGCTGTCCCCATCTCGCTCTCGCTCTCGCTCTCTTTCGCTCTCGCTCTCCCCCTCTCGCCGTCTACTGTGCTAATGAACAGACGGCAAGAGCTACCTAGTGCAAAAAAAAAAAGCGAAGCAGCTAAAGGCCAGAGTTTGCTAATTGCGGCTGCTCGATTGCCATATACCCTGTAAATAACTTTGAAGTGGAATTCTCCGCTAATTAGCACTCTGTATGTCTGCATAACTTTAGATGTTTACCCATATTTTAACTTTTTTCTCAGCCTCATATTAAGTTAAAGCTAAAAGCTAAAGTTTGCTCAAGCCTGATTGATGGATACCCTGTAAATTAATTTTAAATAATTAAATTTAAAATATTTTTAATCTGCTCAGATTTGTATAAATTCCTCAAGAACTTTAAGTTAAGTTAAGATAACTACCCTGTAATTTTATGCAGCAATATTTGCCTGTAAGGAAGTTTGATAGAATATTTCCCATATCACAACATTAAATAATGCCTCCTTAGCTACATACATACATCTCTATTTAAGATTCTTTCTACTCTGTTTTAGAGATAAGATAAGTAAATAACTTCCTTTTCTATTATACATTCGCAGAATACAGGGTATAGATTATGAGCTCAAAAAAGGAAATAAAAAAACGCCAAGAGCTTCATGAAACGTGGCAAACAAACAGAAATCAAATCCAATTTATGTTTTTTACTGCTCTTTCTGTAGTTTTTTGTTTTTATTTTTTTATTTGAGCCACATTAATCATAATTTTGGGGCTCGATCGGCAAGCGTGAAATAATTTTTATGCGCCGTTTTAATGGAACGAACCCGAAATCTGAAATCCCAAGAAGGTGTCAATCGCTAATTTGACGGCCGATGCGACTTGATGAGAAGCGCAGAGAACGGACTGCATAAAGCAAAAAAAAAAAAAAAAGGGGGAAGAGAATAGAATTGCATTGTGTTTTTGCAATTAGCAACGCGTCAATTAATTGGAATCGTGAAATTATGCATATAGTGTATATATGTATGTATATCAGGCCAGGCCAGTGGAACGCTCAAAGATCGAAGCCAAAGTCGATGTGGAAGGCAATGGATAAACGAACAGACTAATTGACTGGCCGACTGACTGACTGAAACTCTGAAGATCTTTGGGAAAATCTATTTAACAGGTGTTTCACACACCATGTCCAAAGGTGGGCTAAAGGTCGTACGAGTGAGTGAAAGCTCAAGTTTCGACTCTACTAATAACAGTTAATGCCTCTCTGAGACGCTTGAAAGTAATCCCTAGGCTGGGGCCAACTCAAGCTGCTGCCCACGCTGATTATCCAAGTTTATTGTGATGCAAGTATCATCGGGAACATCGTCGGGGCGCAAAATACCGTGAATCACATTGGGAATTGTTATACAATAATGAAAGATCAGCTCAATTTTGTATGATGATATGAGAAGCGCAGAGATTCCCAGAGACGCGGCGAGAATGCGATGAAAAAGGTCTTTATGGGCATATCTCTCAACTCGGTAGCTGACAGATCCGTCGAAAGGGGCAACCGATGGAGAGGGAGGGACTGAGAACGAGACTCGAGCTGAGCTGAGCTGAGCAGAGCAGACAAAGATGACGGTGCAAGTGTAGGGGCTGAATGACAACGGTGCATGCAGGCCAAAAGGGAATACACAATGGGCCGAGAGCGCGAGAGGAAGAGGAAGAGCAGCTGGCTGAAGCTGGAACCTGTTGCACTTTCGTTTAGCCACTTGAAAAGCAATTTCTGAAATTTATTTTCCATTTATTGCTTTATTTATTTTATACCTTTTCAGTGTGGCCCATTCTACACATACCAGACACAGCTCTTCTCTGTCTGTGTGTGCGTTTGTGTGTGTGTTGTTGCTTATGCGATTAGAGCAGAGCAGAGCAGAGCAGAGCTCATCTGCCTGCTGCAGTCAGTGTTTATTTGTTTTGGGCCCAGAACAATTCTTGAATTCTCGGCCAAAGCGGTGCAGCTCTTGGGCCGCTCTCAATGGGCGCGGACAACAATCGAAAGTAATAATGAAATCTCATAAACAACAACAGCAACAGCAAGCAGCAGCGCTTAACAATGTGTGCGAGCGAGAGAGCACAACTGTCTTCGCCCTTCTGCAGTCGCGGTCGCCGTTGACGTCGCTGCTGCCGATGCCGTTGCCGTTGCCGTTGACGTTGACGACACTTGCCTTGATTTTTATTATGTTGGGCTTTTCCACACACACACATAGACACACACACACACACACACACAGGCACATGTGCATTTCTGCATTGTTGTTGATTGTTGTTGCATTGCCTTTTGATTTATTGTTAGCAGGAATGAGAGAATGGGCCCAGGCACAGGCACAGGCACAGGCAAAGAGCAAACGGCACTGCAATAAGAACAGCAACAGCAACAACAACAAAGACGACAACGACGTCGACTGCACAGCAGGCACCGCTGCCCTCACTTGTTCATTCTGCCGTTCTCTCTTTCTCTCTCTCTCTCTCTCGCTCACTCTGCTTCTCTTGTTGTTTTAGTGCTTGCATTCCGCACTCAGCATTTTTACCTTTTGCCAAGAATTGTGCGTGCTTGTGTGTGTGTGTGTGTGTGTGTGTGTGTGTGTTCGTTTCTATTCTTGTGCGGGCAGCAGCGTCGCGACGCGTCGACGCAGTTGTAGACAGTTCATTAATGTTATCAACAGCATGGGGCATGGGACACGGGATCTGGGATCTGAGACCTGGGGGCGGGGGCGGCGGCTGATCGCTCATTTCTTTGCATTTTGGCCGCATCGTTGTAGGTAAAAGCAGCAGCAACAACAACAGCAGCAGTGCGCAGTGGCTGCGCTGCTACGCAGCCGCGTCGCAGCTCCTGCCTGGGTTTGTGTACGCACTAAACATCAATTTCGAGCTGCGTAGCACTTGCTGCTGCTGCTGCTGCTGCTGTTGCTGAAATGGGCCAAAGTCGAACTGAGAAGACAACAAAAACTGGTGGCAACTATTGGCCAAAAAAGGACACAGCGACATGCGTCGCCGACTTGGCCCGTACAAATTGTCAGCTCGAATGGAACGGGCCAGTCGCATTTTATGGACAACTTGTTGACCAGCTGAACTACTTTCCAGTCGGGCGATTGCCGTTAGCTATCGCTCGGGGCTGATCAACAAAAATAAAATAAAAAAATAAAAAAAATAAAAAAACAAATGCAGAAAATAGCAAAAAGAAAAACAAACGCAACTCACCTGTATCAATCCGTGCAGGATTCCAAAATCAAGACGACGCGAGCCGTTTCCTTCCTTCACTCGATTCACTCACTTGTCATTGCTCTCAATGCTGAAGAGAGACTTTCCGCTCTGCTCTCTTTTGCACTAGCAACCTACATACATACATACAAACATATGTACATTGTGGATTTAGATGAGAGTCCATTAGAAATCGAAACGAACGATTCGCATTAGCGGAAACCTCTTTTGCGCTGCCTCCCCTGCTCCCCTGCTCCACTCTCTGCTCATACCCCCTCTACTTGCTGCCTTGCTCACATCCGTTGGACCACAAGCGGCACAACGGCACATTTCCGAAATTCTACTCAATCTCTATAAATATATGTCTCTATCTCGCTCGATCTCAAATAAATTTTGGCATTCGAAGCGGCAAAGAGGAAGCAGCGTTAAATTTGTGTCCCCCCCTCAGGCGAAAGGCAAAACCGAAAGAATTGCTATTTAACGGTTATTCGTATGAATGAGCGTAGCATGTGTGTGAGTACGTACGTACGTGTGTGTAAGTAGTTGATATACAAATACACATGTATGTATGTATGTATGAATGAAAATGTATTAGAAAGTTGTATGTATGTATGTGTGCGTATGCACATCTTTATCAATTATAAATATCAATCATACATATGTATGTACATACATTATTTAGCGGATTTCAATTAGATAGTAATATTCATCTTAAGCATGCCATTATTTCAATATGCATTTAATGCTTATGGGAATGCATAAATTCATATGTACATACATATGTACATACGTACATCAATACATCACACACACATGCACACTTACACTCACACATACACAGATACAAGTATTTATGTCATTTTGTCGTTTGCCTTTTGCAGCTGTTTGCCGGCCGCCGCAACGATTTAAAAATAAAAACAAAAATAAATATAAATATAAATACAAGTCGAAAGGAACAACAAGAAATATACCTATATAAAGATAGAATCAAAGAAGAAGAAAACACTAACAATGCAAACGGCTCAACCACTTCGCACGCACTTCTGCTTCTGCTTCTGCTTCTGCTTCTTCCGATCTGCGTTGATTTCGGTTATTTTGTTTTGTTTTCTTATTTATTTGGCGAACTGCATTTGCTGCCAATTAACGCGCACATTAACAGGTAGGCGCAATCCTCATTCGCCAGATGATCATTAACATCGGTGGCTGCAGCTCATTGATAACAATTTCGCACAGTTCCCGGGCTGCGATCACACACACAGTACAATAATAATAACAACAACAACAAAAAAAATGAAACAGAAAAAAACACGTCAAAAGCAATTTGGGAGGAGGCGAACGATTTAAGATGCGCGCACAGCACACACAACCTGTCAGCGTCGCGTCACGTAAGTAACTGAACGAAATTGTCTTCGCCGCACCAACACGTAGACGGCGGCGACAGCGAGACCGGCCGACGCGACATGCTTCGGCACTGCTACTGCTTCGGCCTCTTCGCACACGAAGACGAAGCGTCGCGGCTTTCGACAGCAACAACAGTGCAGCGCCATAAAGCTGCTGGCTGGGCTGAATCCAGCCGAACATGCGCAGCGCGCTGTCGTGTGTGTGTGAAGGAAACTGCGCTGCTGCAGGCGCGCAGGCACAGCCAACCACCCAGACCACCCATCCACCATTCGACTTCCCCCGCTCTCTCGCCCAAAAACATGAAACACGTGCCAAATGTGTTTTTTTTTTTAAATTTTTTTTTTTTATTTGGTTTTTGTTGTTATCCACTTAACAGTTTCGATCGTATTATACATTTATGTTGAGAGTAATTTTTAATTTTGTTGTTGTTTACTTTTATTCTTGTTTCAATTAACTGTAATATAAGTATATTTAGTTTTAAGTTTATAAACTTTGTGCATATGCTTGTTTCTTTGTGTGCGCTTGTATGTGTGTTAATCTGCATCTGTGTGTTATATGCAATTACTGTGAATTGCCAAGCTGCACAACATTTTACACTGGGCGAAACGAAATCATTTGAATCGACAAAAAAATTGAAAAAAAAAAGAATTATAAAATGCTTAGTTATATGTAGTTTGTTCTTCTTCTTCCTCTTCTTCTTGTTGGCTAGTATGCGTTATTGTGTGTTGGAGTTAGTTGGGCCTTAAATGTCTATATATAATATATATTTCTGTTTATATATGTATTGTAGGGTATATGAATCCATTAAAACATTATTGTTTCGTTTCGAGTTTTCACTTCTTATGGCCGTTGTACGTTTAAAGTTTAGTTGGTTTGGTTTTGCCTCCTCTATTATTATCGATATTATCATTATTATATTTATTATTATTTTTATCATCATCGATTGCTCTCCATCGTTTAAGATTAACCATAATAAATGTAGTAGTAGAAGCAATTGCAACAATTCGTTCTTGTTTTTACTCGACACAACATTTTTTTTTTTTTAACTTTTGATCTATATAGTATATTTATATATGTGTAGATATAAAAAAAGAGTTTATTTAAAAAAAAAACCTAACTTTTGTGGGGTTTACGATGTTGTTGTTGTTGTGCTTGATATATTGCCTCAAACGACAGGTGGTTCGGTGCCACCCAGGGCCTCATCGTTACTGTAGTTTACCGAAAATGAAAATAAAAACGAAGGTAAAATTAAGAATTAATAGAAAAGCAAGAAATAACGCAAAGTAAAATTTATAAAAATATAAATTAAATGGATAAATAAAAATACTATGGAAAAATATCATATAATATACAAATAAATATGAAATATATTTAAATACAAGTAGAAACATTGCCCGCAGGCTTTATCGACTGTAGAATACTCATGCACAGTTCGACTATCTATTTCAAATATCTATAATATCTAGCTTAAGTAGAGGCGGAACGGTCATACGGATAGCAAAACGGACATTGGACAAAACGAATGATATAATAATTTAACCGAGAAAAATTAATGAAATGAAAATGAATGCAGAATTTTCAATCTTGAATAGGTAAATTAATGCAATTCATTCTAACTATTATTCTTATTTATAATTGTATTGCTTAATATTTACTTTCTCAATCTATATAGTAAGCAGGCAAACATTTAGTATCCCCTGTTTAATAAGCTTTCAACTCATTGCGTTTGGGAGCTTTCGAGGCAAGCTTTAATGCGCTTTCAAAGCTCTCCTTAGCTCGTTTTCGCTAATTTCAACGAAACTTAAGTATTTTTTAGACATTCATCAATCAATATAGCTATTTAGTATTTCATATAAATTTATTGTAGTTGTACTCTTGCATAGGCATAAAAAATTTCACTACAAACAGATAACGCGAAAAAGAAGTGTTCAATATAAATGAAATAGAAATTCTTCTGCAATTTCAGACTTTGTCTCAACGCGTCGAGTTAAGAACTCACATGTGCCAGCATTTCAATCATACATACATATTTGTATATCTATATATCCAGTATGTATATCATATATGTATATAGTATTTATATTGTATATATTAATTGAATTTAGTGTGTTTCTTTTTTTCTAGGTTAGCTATACGCTCCATATTGAATATATATCTTGACTATTCCGTTTCTATAGTATATTCCTATAGTCTCTTAACAACTAACAAAAAAAAAATTGTTAACGACTTCTGTTTTAACAATATATCGGTGCTAACTACAAAAAAAGAAGAATATTATTCGCTATATGTATATATATATATATATTTACTATATATGCTTGATTCCTTTAGGATCGTGTAGTAAACAGTTATTTTAAATATTTCTCTATGCTTTAGCTATATATACTTTGTATATGTATTTATATAACATGATATTTTGCAATGATATGGCACGATAATTGTATTCTTGTTTTGTTTTCGATTTTCATTTTGATAGATTTCCAGGCAACCAGCAGATGGCGCCAGTGTGCCGGGCGCTTAGCTGGGCGCTGGCAGCAGCCAGATGAGACTGCTTACGAGTAGGGTTAATGGTGTCACTGCCACGCCCACCGCCCTCACGCTCGTATCGTAGGCATAGCCATTCGCATTCTGCGGCAGCTGATTGAGATTGGGTCGCGGATAGATGATGTGCACCGGCGGTGGTTGATCGATCTTATCGAAGAAATTTGGATCATACCTCTTGTCGCCCGGCTCGTAGTCGTGATAGATGAGACTGGATGGATTCCAGTATTCCCTAAATTCCGCCAGAGCCGCATGCAGTGTGCAGAATCGAGAGATAAGTTACAAGACACAAAAAAAACAAAGATAGAAACCCCCAAACCCCAATAGGTGGCGTATACAGCCCGAGTTTAAGATAGATCTATTGTAATTGTATTGTATTGTCAATGTTTTATATTGTCTATACGGATTTTAGGCCAGACTTCAACTCTAGGTCTCCTTGATACCAGGACAATGACAATGATCCTTTAGTATAGTCTAATTGAATCTTAATCTGAGCTCCAACAAGTATAATAACGTTTCTTAAAAGATAAATTTCAAGGGCTTTACTTTTTAGGAAAATCGTTTCTTCCCATATAGAACGATTTCTACCCAAGCTTATCTCTGTGTTCCACTTAATCCCAAAAATCTGTTCGACTTCTATATGCTCTATTGTCAATAGTCTATAGACTTAAACTCAAAGTTGATCTTATCTGACAAGAACTGTCGGGCACTTACACAGGGCAGGTGTCCACGTTGACGCCACTGACAGAGGCCTTGCCCAGATTGATCTGGCCAACGGCATCGCCCTCCACAAAGACAATGCAGCCGTTGAAGTTGTGCGTGTAGCGTTTGCCCGTGAAACGTGAAATGTTCGGAATGCCACCTGAAATTGAGAGGAAGGCAGATGAACGTGTGGACCCATGGATCGGGGGGTATTTGGTCAGTGACACCTACCAATGAACACGTTGCCCGGCAGATGCATCTCCTTCTTGCTGGTGGGTCGCGTCTCGCCGGAGTCGGATATGCGATCGACCTCGAGTATGGCAGTGTTGTCCGCACGCTTCACAATCACTATATGGCGCTGGCCGTCGTCCACGGGAGTGTCGCCGTTGCGTATGACCACCTCTTCGCCGTCCAGGCGCAGAGCGTACTCCACAAAGCCATCGACGACGGCGAGGGCAATGAAGTCCTGGCCGGTGAATTCCTCGCCAGATTTCTGGCCCCACCAGAGCAGCAGGCCGTTGGGCTTGCTGGTGGAGAACACCACCACCGCTGAGGTGTACTGCTGGTCTATCTCCGAGCTAAACTGGCTGCGGTCCACCTCCAGGTACCCATTGCCGCGGAACGAGGCATTGAAGCTCACTTGGATGTCTGCACGGAATAGAAACCAGTTCAATTAGATCGAGAGGCGCTCATAGCAGTCCCCAGTTCATTTTCACTTACGCTCCTCGCAGTGCTTGCCGCTGTAGCCCAGGCTGCAGGCACAGACCGCCTGCTGCTCCAGCTCCGTGCAGGTGCCGCCGTTCTCGCAGGGCTCGTTGGCGCAGGGCGACATCGCATAGGGCTGCTGCTCCTCCTCGCGATGGGCGACGCGGCTGTTGCTTGTCGGAGCCACAGGCACCGCGGGCAGCTCGCCGTCGTAGTCGTTGTTCCCGATCTCGTTGAGCTCGCCGCAATTCTGCAGGTTGGCCGCATCCTTGATGGCAGCCAGCAGCTGGACGGGGCGCATCGAGTCGTAGAGCCGCGAAATGCAGCCATCGAAGCCTTCGGTGATGTTCACATCCCGATTGATCTTGATCGTGGACCGATCGTAGCCGCCCACATACAGCGGCGTCTTCAGCGAGAGGGTGCGTGGCCCACCCACCGCCTTGGCCCTCTGCTCGGGCTCATCGCCCACACGTAGTATGCTCTCGCCCTGGCGACGCAGCACCTCGACTCGTGTCCATCTGTGCAACGGCAGCGGCTTCTGTGAGCGCACCACGACAGGCTTGGGGCGCGCAGCCGTGTTGATGATCAGCTCCACATGACCGTCGCGCAGCACGAGCGCCACGTAATCGCCGCTGGGCAGCTGCGACTCGGCCGTGTACAGCAGCACCGCATCACGCAAGCTGGATGGACGCAGCGATAGAGTCACATTGATGCGCGATACACGAGGTGTTCTGTAAATGCAGGGAAAGTAGTTTCAATCTCAATTGGCTAACTCAGTTGAGGCACAGATCTCCGTTCTGGTTGGGTAGTGCTATGAAAGTATTGGGTGCTTAGCTATATTAAATTCCAGTGTACTGTCTGAGTTTGGGGATCGGACTTGACGACGTGGAGTGGTCCCAGGAATCTATGAATCTAAGGAAAACCCGTAGCTTGCTCGCTCAGCTGGTCTGTTTGGGTAGAGCTATGAAGGTATTGCATGTTTATTTATTATAAATCCCAATGCACTATCTGAGTTTGGGGATCGAATTTTGAGTAATCTTAGAAATCTGGGAATTTAGGGAGACCCAAAGCTTCGGCAGGGAAATTTACTAAACACAAGTAAGGAAATTTTGTGCTCGAGTTAGGAAATTCGAAGGTTTTTTAAATCTGTTCGCCTCAATACTACGACTAGTCATATTCCTGTATTATGTGAGACGGTGCTTAATAGATCGAATCTCATACAATGTCTCTCTCGAATCAACAGACATGCATATGTATGCCTATCAAGCTTATCAAGCTTATGATCCACTTTCCTTTTGCTTTAAATTTTAGGCTCTCGTTAGATTAAGACTATATTATTTCTTGTGCCTTAGGCCTTTGTTACAGGAATGTACAACGACACTATTTTATATTATATAGGTAAGAAAAATTCACGTTAGATCTCGAACCTAGTCCCAAGCAAACGTAAATTCCAGAACCTTTTCCATCTTGTCAGCTATTGTTAAGTCTATGTTTACACGCTGAGAGTTGGGTTGGATTGGGTACTACTAGGCAGAGGTGTTTTACTCACTTGTAGGCGGCATAGCTGTTTCGCTTGAAGTTGAGACTGTGTTCGTTAAGGTGTTCCATGTACTGACAGCGATCGCCGGTGCGATTGAGTGGGCAGAGGCATTCCATGCCCAGCTCGGTGTTTTCACAGCGTCCGGCGCCGCACAGGCCCGGAGTGCATTGGGTGCCTTCGACGGCGCAGTTGCGGCCGGTCCAGCCCTGCTGGCAGACACAGGTGTAGGCCAGTTCCGTTTGGCTCTCCAGGCAGATGCCGCCGTTGGCACAGGGCGAGGCGGCGCAAGGCTTGCAGCTGGTGATGCCCTCCTTCAGCTTGGCGTCCTTCATCAGCTCAATGGTGCGTCCCTGGAGCGTCAGGCGGCTAATGCAGCCAACGAAGCCCGTTTGGTGTGCCGCCGCCTCGGCGGGCAGCTGGTTCCAGTTGGGTACGCCGCCAATGTACAGATCCTCGATGAGCTCCAGCTGCGGCACTTGCGTGAGAGTGGGGAATGCGACCGGATGCTGTTCGTCCAGCTGAATGTAGCCGTCGCGACGCGAGCGATACACACGTGCCGTATGCCATTCGTGCAGCTCGACGGGCTGCTCGGCGCGCACTACCATCGGCTTGCCGCCAAAGTCGAAACGGAACTCCACATAACGGTCCTTCAGCGAGAGTGCAATGTAATCGCCCGCTCCGCGCGTTTGCCCGTTGAAGAGAATCACGCCGTTGGCGGATTCCGGCCGGAAAGTGACCTCAAAATTGAAGTTGAACGCGGAGTCTGGCAGAGTGGGGAAACTCATGTAGCTGAGCGGTTGCTGATTAAACTGTGGGATGACTCCCGTGATGACCAGAATGCTCGGATAGTCCACGGACTCGCCATCGTTATAGTCGGCTGTGCAGATGTAGCTGCCGGCATCGTTTGCCTGCACGTCCTGCAGCGACAGTTCACTCTGCAAGAGAAGGGTTCGTTAGACTCTGATGCTCAGATTCCTCGCTCACTTTCGAGGGGTCTCGCCTCTCTACTTACGCTGAGGAGATAGCTTTCGGGTTGCATTTGTCCGTACTGGCGTGACCAGTGGTAAGTGGGCTGACGACTCTCATCGGCGCCGCAGATCAGCTGGGCTTGATCACCGACATTGGCGTGCACGATCTTCGGACGACGCAGCTCATGGGGCTCCTCCTCGATGGCCAGCTCATAGCTGGTCGTATAGAGATCGCCGTCATCCGTTTGGCATTTGCACACATAGTTGCCCGCATCCGCAGCCGTCACTTGACTGATGACCAGACGGTTGCCCACTTGCTGCGGTAGAGTAAAACATGGAGAGAGATAGATAGAGGGAGAGATGAATTGGGATGTTGGATCTATGTTGGATGAGGTCACTCACCCGAATGTTGGCAGAGAGTGGCACACCATCGGAACGTTCCCAGATCACATTCGTGTAGCTGTTGTCCGAGGAATAGCACTCAACTTCGGTCGATTCGCCAACGTGCAATTTCGATGACTGCTGATCCAGTTTCAGGCTGTAGTCACGCGGCACCTCTGGCTCCGGCGGGGGCGTTGGCCGCAAGGGCGGCAGATAGACGCTCGGTTGGGTCATGCCCGCTGCAGAGCAAAGCCAGACCACAACCACAGTCACAGCCACAGCCACGGCCACAGGAGGCGGCGGCACAATAGACACAGTAGACACAACAGAAGACGAAGACGAAGCGGTACGAGGATGAAGACGACGACAACGACGAAGACGACGAGAACGACGAGTCGAGGATGTTTCGGCGGTTGCAACGTTCACATTTGGGCGACAATTCACAATTGGGTTATGGGATGATCAGGTGCATGTGTGTTTTGTGTATGCGTGTGTGTGTGTGTGTTTGTGTGTGTAAGTGTGTGTGTTTGTGTGAGATGAGGCATTGAGATGGGAAGGTAAGATAGTAAAAAATACACAGAGAGAAAAAAGCAGTTAGCAAAAAACATGTCAAATATGGTGATTTATACAGATACATGATGCGATATATGTTTATCGAACGCTAACAGTGTGAGCATGTGTGCGTGTGCGTATCCTTTGAATACGCATTCACATCTTCAGATGCCCTTGTAGAATCGAACGGATTGGAGAAGAGTACAGAAAGATAGACAGGCAGACAGACAGAATAGACATATCTTAAGATATATCTAATGAATGGGTGAACAGACACAGTTAATTATATGGAGCTGAAATACTTAGAAGGAATGGCTAAATGAGCAGATTTTCGGATTCATATACATATGCATACATGAAATCTATATTCAAAGAATTATAGAGGTATATAATTTGATAGGACCAAGGTCAGGTCTTTCTTCTTCATTTACACATATAGACCACATATAGTATTTAAATGAGTATAGCTAATACATATTCAGACAAAAGTCTACAACGAACTTGGAAGGAATATTCCTCGATCACTAGCAGGTATATTCCATATAAGAAATATTTCATGCTTTTCTTTCTACAAGGGCATTTTAAGGCTTTGGCACGCCAAAGTTGGGTAAACTTTTTGTTTAGTCATATTTTATGCTTTTTTATATATTTTGTTTTCTAGTTAGACAAGTAGATACATAGATGTAATTTTTTCTATGGTTCGGGGCGGATAGAGAGTAAGAATAGTGATGAGATATTTTTGTTTTGTTTTTGAAACAAATTAATAAAATATACAATAAAAAAAAAATAATAGTATTCAAATATATAGAAATGATAACACTAGAACACACAGCTACATAAAGTACTAAAAATGTCTACTGGTTCGAATCACACAGAAATACGAGTACATGTGTATGTGTAATGGAGAGGGTTATGGTGTTTTCGGTATTGTTTTGGTATTTTTTTTTTTTTTTTTCGTTCAGCTTATTATATAACAAGTGAGAGATATAGAGATATATAGTATATATGGGGTTACCACTAGGCCAATACGTATTCAGATACATATACTTAGCTACATACACACATATGTCTAGGCTACCAATACAATATGGGTTCTACTCAATAGTCAATTACACATATAGATATAGATTAGGAAGAATTTTTTTTTTTAGTTTTTATAACAATTTTGGTTGATCGATCGAAAGAAATATTTAGTTATATATATTTTTTATTTTCGAAATTCATTTGGCTAGTCAGGTATGTGTGTGTGTGTGTGTGCGAGTTTGTGTTGATGTGTGTGAGTGTGTGTTACATTTTATTTACAAAATTTTGTTCGATATATTTATCGATATTTGCACAGTATTCTGATACAGTTTTTGTTAGTTGGAGTTACCCGCATGCAAACGAGCCCGAGACCAAGAGGAACAAATACAAATGCTTCGATATTTCGACATGCGCGCGTCAGCACCATTTTCTGTTATCGTTTGTTGTTGTTGCTGTTGTTGTAATCGTTATCGATAACACTACCGTTACGACTTACGCACTAAGAACCTGCACATGGTAAACAATTAAAAGCAGGTCTACCCACACACACTACGCCTAATTGCTGCTGTTGTTGTTGTTGTTGCAGATGTTGTTGTTGCTGCTGTTGTTGCCGATGTTGTTGCAATTGCTCTAGCTAAATTTATATTGTTGTTGTTTGCATATTTATATATAAATTTAGATTCTTAGTTTTGATACGTGAGTTGAGTGCGAATTTGCAATTGTTTCAGATTTTCTCGTTGTGCGCCTACGGAACGTAGTTAGAGGAGCCAAAAGACAGTTGGATAGATAGATTGCCAGTTATATATGTAGATAGAGGACAGCTGGATGACATAAAAGACAGGCTCTGATGTGATTCCAGTTTTCCAATCTACAGTTGGTGTAAATTCGACAGCAACATGAGACCAGAAGACTTCGAATCACGATGGAACATGAAGGAAAATTAAAGTTCAACAGTTATAGACAGAGAGAAAGAGGGAGGGAGGTGGGTAAAGAGAGGGAGCGGGAGACAGTGTAAGACTGGGTGGAAGAAAAGAAACAAGAAATTATGAAAAACTTAAGACGAACCGAAGAAGCCTTTGGCCTTTGGCTGTCCAACTCGTTGCTGTTTATCTGCCTGATGCCAGGGCTGATGCTTCCTCCAGCTCTTCTTCCAGCGCTTGAAACTGTTGCCCGATCCATGGCTAGCGCCTACGCCCACACCCACGCCCACGCCCACGCCAGTGGTGGGTCGGCCAACTGTCTTGGCAGCCAGATCGCGGCTGCAGTTGAACTCGTCCGAGTGATCCGTACAGTCGTAGATGCCGTCGCAGACCATGCTCGCCTTGATGCACGTGTGTGGGTGGGAGACGCACTTGAAGTCTGTCGCTTGGCAGGCGTATGTGCTGAGGGGCGGGGCGCGTGGGGGCGTGGCCAGCGGTTTGGCTGGCGTCATTTTGTTTAGTTTGAAATCTAATTTTGCGCGTTTATTCGTTTTTCATGTGGTATTTTTTGCAGTATTTTTGTAGTATTTTTGTAGTATTTTTCAGTATTTTTTAAGAATTGGGTTTTTGTCGTTTGAAGAGCATAAAAGAATAGATTAGCAAAAAATATAGACGAATTAGTCGTCGAACCACGGTTAGTATATAGTTGCCCGTTTCAAGTTGCTGCTACAGAAAATATTATGCATACGACCCGTACTCCAACAACATGTATTTTTGATTATTCCAAGTAGTATATTTTTGCATCTATCTATATTTATGCATGTACATATATAGATAGATCGATCTATTTATAGTTGATTTACTGTGATTTAGTTTGTTTTGCTTACGTGCGTTTGCCAGTTGCATTAAATACCAACAAAATACTAACACTAAATTCTAAACGGTGCCTTGTCCTCAATTCTGTGCGCGTGTGTGTGCGTGGGGGAATGATTGGTGTAATTTTAGTGGGCGGAAAACAAAGAGGTTTTTCGTTTTTCTTTTTTTTTCTGTTTCTTTTCTTTTGATTTTGGTTTTTAGTTTAGTTAATTTCGATTCGTAGATCGCAAATCATTTATGGTATATACAAATTTGGAAATTACTTTTTAGTATTAAAAAAAAAACTCGAAATAAGTATAAAAGGAAAATAATACAAATTATACAAAAATATATACTACTAAATAAAAACAAAAAAATACTCAAGCAAAAAATAATAATAGTAATAATAATAGTTGGTATTAAGTTGGGCTGAAAAATGAATTTCAATTTAGTAGATTATTACGGCGAAACACACCTGCGCATATATATAGAACAACGCATGGAAAATCTTGGCCGCCCCTATACAAGCTATAATTGTTTTCTATTGGTATTTATTTGGTATTTTGTTGTGTTGGTATTTGGCGTTGTTTATTTTGTTTTGTTTGTTGATTGAATGCAGTTGTAGCGGTTGTTGTTGTTGATGCAGTTGTTGTTGTTGTTGTTGTTGTTGTTGTTGTTGTAGCAGTTGATGTTGTTGTTGTCGTTGTTGCAGCAATCATATTAGATGGTATATATATAGATGGTATATATAGTCGCCCATATGATTTATATTTAATTATACAAAAATGAACATAATTTGTTTGATATTTTTTTTTCAGTATTTTATGCGAAGCGACCAAAACGAAATTTCATAAAAATTAAATATTTATAAATATATATATATAATTAGTATATATATATATAGGTGTGTGTGTATGTGTTTTATTTATTTTTTTTTGCACAAGCGCACATGTAAAAGAGAGAGGGAGAGAGAAGAGAAAAAAGCAGTAAAGAAAGAGAGAAATAAAAAATATTTATCAAATTATTTGATGTGTACCATTTGAGGAAAAAAAGAGAAAATAATTATATAAATCCTAAGCTAAAATATTCAAAAATAAAAGTATTTTTTTTATGAACATTTCTATTTTGTTATCAAAGATAGACCTTGGCAGAGCAGTACCTCAAACGTGGCTTAAAAATTTTCAATTTGGAATTTGGAAGTTGGAATACTTAATTTTGTCGGTATTTGTATATTGCCAATATGGTATTTTCTTGCTCAAGAGAACGTTGCTCGAAATGGAACCTCGAAATTGTCCATAGAATTCTGTTGCTCTTAAACTGATTTTAACTTATTCAAGGCAAAGAGTACGACATTACGAATATTTGTTTAAGAACAATTTACTGTGTGAGACTGTCAACTAGAGATTATTTACATAGTTATAAAAGGTCACAAATAAATGTGGTATTCTTTTTGGTATTTTTTTAAAGTGCAGGTGCAGCTTTGTGTGCATAGTGGTAAGAGGATAAAACGGAGCTGGGAAGGGTAGGTAAAAAATCTTCAATATTTATTTTGAAGAGAGAAAGAGACAGAGAGAGAGAGAGAGAGAGAGAGAGAGAGAGAGAGAGAGA